CGAACGGGATCCGGAACCGTCGGTTCATGATCCAGTTTTTTTTTATTCTTAAATTTAATAAATTGAAATCCAAATATTGGGTTCTAGATCTGAATCATAACTGAAAACTTTTAATTCGATTGCTATAGTGTCTGGTTCAGTTCGAACCGAACCGTGGTAATCGCTACATATACGCAATAATTTGTTGGAGAAGTAAAATAAATAAAATGTTTACTTTAAGGGTAGAAATGTCAATTTAATATATTAGGGGGGAAAACCACCACTTTTAAAATAATTGAGGGGGCTAATGTGCTTACATAAATAATTGAGGGGGAAAAAGTGCTATAAGTATATAACATACGGGGAAAAAGTGCCATTTTCCCAATAAATTATTACCCATTGATAATGTAAATATGTAAGCAATTAAATCATTTTATTATTAAAAAAAATATTGTAAGAGATTTTTATAGAGGTAGAATATTTTAGGTCACATTGAATTCTTTTAAAATGTTTTATACAATTAAATTACATACATTGTATCATAAAATCTAATACATTCATCAGTGAGATTGAGATAATGTAGAGGGGTGAATGATGCCAATAAATATACGCTAAATAAAATTTGAGGTAGGATCATAAATTTGAATGACCAAGTTCACAAAATAGTCTTCATGTCTTTCCAGTTCAAAATGCAAAATAACAATTATCAACAAAATAAAATCATATTTAATTAATTAAAATTAAAGATTTAGCAAAGTGAAAACCAACATATAGGTAGATATAAGTATAAAACAAAAACAAAAACAAAAAATTATGTAGAAAAGTTCAGTTGCATACATGGCCTCTTTTCTTTTAACCCAGAGCATTGAAGTGTCCAAGTATCTTCAATAAAATTGATCCACGTACTAAGAATATTACCTTCGCTTATACTTTTGACAGTTCATCTTCAATTGCAGGATCATAATTTTATGTGTAGTTTGATAGTAACTTAAATTTAAAATAATAAACAATACTTTAATGTTATATCTTTCAGTTTAGGAAAAAAATGTTATTTTAATGTATGAATTTAGGAGTGCATATTTAATACATTGACCCGTTTTATAGATTATGTCCAAATTAAATGTATAGGTAATAAATTTTTATTTAAAATGTACTTAGTTAGTATTAATATCAATTATAATTGGTAGTTAATATAAATAATACTCCGTAATAATATATATTATTATGTTAATTGGATAGATAAAATTTGTGCCATTTAAATTTGATCGTCGACATGTCACGTTGATAACCTTCTTTTAAATTATAATAATTATATGTTCTAACTTCTAACAATTGATTGTGTATGTTCAAGTTGGTCTGTTGGTTTGGTACGACTTATTAGTATTCTTGACACCGATGCATAGTATTCGAGGGAACAAAAAAAAATTAATATAAATCTCATATATGATAGGAAATACTATGTAGACTAGCATTTTTTACTCCACTCTTAATTTTGTGAACAATCTTTTAAAGACGCACATGATTGAAAAATAGTTCATGGTTAAAAAAAAAAAAATTCATCTTTATTTGCCACATCAATAGAATTTGAGAGTATACATGGTAAAATTCTATCTCATTGTCTCCATATCACGACGACGCTCTTTACTACAGCAATAGAATTTGAGAATATATATAATAAAATTCTATCTCATATAGTAAAAACATTAGTATCCATTGGTATACTCGATTTTTTTATAATTATAGTTGTAAATGTAATATTATAATTATCATAAAAATATAATAATAATAAAACATACCTAATTGTCTGAACTGGAGCTTCCATGGCAGCTTCCTCTTTTGTCTTTCTCTCTCTTTTTTCTTTTCGTCACCTTCTTTGGCGCTTCACTGTCTCTGATAGTCAAAAAAAGCTCAAAAAAAATCCTTAAAATCCCAATCACTTCATTCTCCAGTCAAAGTTCAGCTCTGAGGGGCTTTGTTTTCTCTGTCCTGTCTGCTCAGCCATGGCTTCTCCTCTTGAAGGTACCAAAACTCTCCCTTTCCTACCTCCCACAACAACTAATCTCAATGTTTGATGATTTCAATATCAACTTGTGCATCAAGCTCCGGGTTTCTTTTCTGAACAATTTTCTTGAAGATCGGTATAATAATTTTGTAAAGACAAGATTTTTATTCTGATAGAGATGAAACTAAGAGAAATCTATGAAGTTTAACAGCATATAACATGATGGGCACTTGATATTTATATGATTCTTGAAAGGGTAGAATCAGGTGGGGACTGGGGAGGGGGTTTGTGCAGGACATTTCAGTTTCAAAGTTCAGACATTGGTAGAATGCTAGGGTTCTAATTTTGATAAGCTTTTTGTGTTAATTTGATTGTGAGTTTGTGACTAATTAAGGATTAATTGATATGTAAAAGGTGAGATAGAAATAGAGAAAGATTTGGGCAGTCCAACAAATCCTTTAGGTGAGCCATCACCAACCCCATCTCCATCCTCAGCAACAGCACCTGCTCTGGTGCTTTCGAATTCGGGGAAGAGGATTGACCAAGCGGGGAAGAAGAAATATGTGAAGCAGGTGACGGGCAGGCACAACGACACCGAGCTTCATTTGGCAGCTCAGAAGGGTGATCTTGTGGCCGTGAAGCAAATACTTGATGGTATCGATTCTCAAATGGTTGGGACGCTGAGTGGAGCTGAGTTTGACCACGAGGTTGCTGAGATCAGGGCGTCGGTAGTGAATGAGGTAAACGAGTTGGGCGAGACAGCATTGTTCACCGCGGCTGATAAGGGGCATCTCGAGGTGGTAAAAGAATTGTTGAAGTATTCGAATAAAGAAACCCTTACTAAGAAGAATAGATCGTTGTTCGATCCTCTTCACGTTGCTGCAAGCCAGGGACATCACGGTAATGATTCGAGATTCGTGAATTTATTTTGTCCTTGTTTCGTATGCTAAGAACCTTTCTATTTATTCGTTTATTATATTACAGCCATTGTGCAAGTGCTATTGGACCATGATCCCGAGCTAAGTAAAACGGTTGGCCCTTCGAATGCCACTCCTCTTATAACAGCAGCATCGAGAGGGCATACAGCTGTGGTCAATGAGTTGCTCGCTAAGGATTGCGCCTTAGTTGAGATTTCGAGATCCAATGGGAAAAATGCGTTGCATTTAGCTGCTAGACAAGGGCATGTAGACATTGTCAAGGCACTGCTCGACAAAGATCCACAATTGGCACGGAGAACAGACAAGAAAGGGCAGACGGCATTGCATATGGCCGTGAAAGGGGTCAACGGCGAGGTGGTGAAGTTACTTCTTGATGCTGATGCAGCCATCGTTATGCTGCCGGACAAGAATGGGAATACAGCATTACACGTAGCCACTAGGAAAAAACGCGTGGAGGTATGCTTTGCATAGTGCTATCAGCTAAAAGCTAATTTACCAAACACCTTTCTACAATCAGCTATTTTATCAACTATTTATACCCTCTAATTAACCCAATCAACTAATAGCTATCAGCTGACAGCCATTTACCAAACAGGGTCATTGTGTTTCTAGGGGTGTTTGGCTTCTCAGATGCATTGGCTAAAAAATATTCACTCATCCACGATATGCTTTGCTTGAAAAGGAAAACTTGACAATTTTGGATTCATTTTCTATAATTATGTTATCGTAAAAGGAATTTTGGTCAGCTTTTGTTACTTATAAGCTGCATAGGATTTGTTTTTCAGTGTCGAGTACAAGAAAGTAGTCCAAATCAAATTTGTCCATACAACCAGCTACATCGGACTCGTTTACTTATTCCTTAGTTTTCATCACTCCGCATCATTAACTGTTGTGACTTTCTAGGGTAATTGAGTAATTATTTGAAAACTTTCTCGTTGCAGATAGTGCATGAGTTGCTTCGCTTGCCTGACATGAATGTCAATGCACTGACCAGAGATCATAAAACAGCTCTCGACATTGCCGAAGATCTTCCCCTCTCTGAAGAGTCCTCGGATATAAAGGGGTGCCTAGCTCGTTACGGTGCTCTTAGGGCAAACGAACTGAACCAACCAAGAGATGAGTTAAGGAAAACCGTGACTCAAATCAAGAAAGATATACATATCCAGCTGGAACAAACTAAGAGGACAAACAAAAATGTTCACGGAATTGCTAAAGAGCTTAGGAAACTTCACCGAGAAGGGATCAACAATGCCACAAATTCCGTGACTGTGGTTGCCGTGCTTTTCGCAACGGTTGCCTTTGCCGCTATTTTCACTGTTCCGGGTGGAGACGATAACGATGGGGTGGCGGTGGTTGTGAGCCGTGCATCCTTTAAGATTTTCTTCATCTTCAACGCCATTGCACTCTTTACGTCCCTCGCTGTTGTCGTAGTTCAAATTACATTGGTTAGAGGTGAGACGAAGGCGGAAAGAAGAGTGGTAGAGGTAATTAACAAGTTGATGTGGTTGGCTTCTGTGTGTACTTCGGTGGCATTTATTGCGTCCTCTTATATAGTGGTTGGTCGGAAATACGAGTGGGCTGCAATACTGGTTACACTCGTGGGAGGGATAATAATGGCTGGGGTTCTCGGGACCATGACTTACTATGTGGTGAAATCAAGGAGAAACAGATCGATGAGAAAACGGGAGAAGCATAGGAGTGTCTCCAACTCGTGGATTCACTCCGAGTTCTCTAACTCTGACATTGAGAGGATTTATGCCCTATGACTCGTGGAAGTAAAACGACTAAGCTGGCTAACGTTGTTGCTATCTTAGATACTATCATAGAAGACACAATTGGGGAGCGTTTGCTCAAGAACGATGCTTTGCATCTTCCTTGTTTGGAGGAGTCGAGAAAATGATGGCTCATTGCTCCGGTTTACTCTCCCCCCAGGAAGGAATTATAGATTGAGAGTAGAGTTTTCGAAACCATTTTAACTGTAGATGCTTGTGGGATGGAATTCATTTTGCCTATGAAACCTGAATACTGTGTAAAATTTGTAAAACCTGCTTCCTTTATGAAATGAAATTTATATTCAATTTGTGAACTAAGCTTATTCAGAGTGATGGGGTTACCTTAAAGATTTGTGCTTCTTTGAAGATCCTTTAACTTTCACATGTCTGCACAATTTTTGACCAAAAAAATTATTATTGGCCAAAATACATGATGGGTCTGACACAAAGTCACCAAGTTATAAAGGAAAGAAATATAGCATAAAGCTAATAAAACTTTGTTCATTTTCAATGTCTTCTACCACACCCTCCACCCCAAAAGTAAAGAGAAGTAAGAAATATTAACCCCTGCAGAGCTCCGGTCTTTCTTGTTCTTCATATATAACTCTAGAAGCTGACAGTGAGCAAAATCCAAGGTCAGTTGTGTTCTTTCTTGTTTGAAACTGCTGCTGAGATCTTTTACAGTGAGCAATGGCTGCCTGGATTGAATTCTCAATCTCTGAATGTGAAGATTTTGTCGTTGATACCGTTCTGAAAGAACCTGAAAATGACCCTTCATTTTCTTTGTTGAAGCTCTTTGCAAGAGAAGATGAACTTTGATATCCATATCTTTGAGTTTGACCGAATGGATCCTTCTTGGATACTTTGGAATCCTCACTGGCAGGAGGAACACATCCTTTTTTAATGATTCTTGAAGTAACTGCAGAAGCTTCACTTGATGAGCAGCTGGATTTAGCAAATAAAGATCTTAGGAAAGCTCGGGAAGCTTTCAGTTTTGAGCTCAATGCGGACTGCTTGATCAGCTTAAGCTTTCTCGTCTGGAATCTTTTTGAATTTTCATCTGAAGAAAAGATACCGACTTCTTCTGTTGCTTGCTCAACAAAGTAATCATCAGGGTTTAGTTCCCCACTAACTCGGAAGGACTCCGAGGGAGAAATATTACAGGACTGGAATGGGGTATTGCTGGTAGGAGTATGAGTCATGGTTGTGAATAAACAGGCAGACTCTTCAAACACATCAACCTCGTCATAATTTTTGGGTTTGTTAGTGCAAGTGGTAGGATTCTGGAGGAGCTTCTCTACCATTTCTACACGAGGTGGGAGGTGGTGAAGAGGGAGAAGTTTCCCTTTGCAGAAGAGTTCATCTGCTGGGGAAGTGATGGTGTCCCTTTGTGAGGAGCTTGAGAACATTTGGAACTCAAATTCTCTCGGATGGGGTGGAGAGCATTTGGAATGGTTGGAAATGGAGGAATGTGAGGCAACTTCCATGTCAATATAGTCTTCTTCTGCATGATCACATGAACTGCCAACAGATTTCTCCATCTCTCTCTCTCTCTCTGTTCATATATCTTCTTGAGATATGTAAACATATGAAGGAGAAGGTATCATTTTAAAGAGGAGCAGATGAGGGATGGCACAGTTAAGGAAAAGGACAAACACCACAGAGAATTTTAATTTATTTTTTATCTTTAAAAAAAAAGACTTCTTAAATACTTCCAAGTATGAAAGTGTTGTCTTTAGCCAGAGTTCTTCTCTTGTCTTGTGTGTTCATACATATTCCTAAATTTTGACCTTTTTACTCTCAGTTCTCACTGCCACCTCTACTTAGTCCAAGGACTATTGTGTTTCACTACTTTAGAAAAAACACACTAAAACAAGAAGAAAACTCCGAAGCTGGTAAACATTAATTGTCTTATCTTATGGATTGCTATAAACCCTAACTAGGGTTCCTGTATTATACAGTGCAAACAATCCAAGAGTCATATGTTAACTCTGTAGTTTAATCTAGGTTTTGTGTGTAGTGCATGTTTGTTTGTGGAATAACTGGTTCGGTTTTTCACTTTAGAGAAGACAAACATGAAATATAAATTACACTTGCAGCTCAAGAAGCACTTTAGCTTTACCTAGTTTCCCTACTTTTACTGGATTCCAGGGGCTTTTTTATTTTTTTAATTCTCCAAGTTGCATTATTTTTTTGACATAACCCCATGTGCAATATGTTATATTTTATAGGATTTTCTAGAGTGCCAATAGTACGAAATACAACTATATATAATTTTTCTTTTAATTATACCGAGTATCATTAGTATTCAATACTAGTGTTAATAGTACCCGGTGTAATATGATAAATCAGATATAGTTGTATCTGATATTATTGGTATTATTATAATTAAAAAAAAAAAACATATTTTATATATTTGAATATAAAAAGGAGATGAAATTAAAGATTGTAGATGCCAAACTAGTGAACAAGGAGCACTCAGGTCCGACATTTCATGGTGGAGAAAAGGAGAGAAGATAAGAGGATTCTCCTGTGAAGCTCCAGACTTTGTGTCAATTTTTTCCAAAGTTGAAACTGCCCCTACATGTTGTCAGTTATGCCTTTCTTTTCACAATTAATATGGCAATTTCTTGTGTGTTTTTATACTAGGCATGCTGGTATGGAGGCAACACACAGGGACAGGGGTGGAGCCACACCCAAATAAGGTGGTTTCTAAGAAATTTGGCTCGATTAGAATGAAGATTCACGTTCTTTAAAGCTATTTTCACGGATTCAATCTCGAATTGTGTTGTAGCTCTCAAGCAACAGGAAGGGATAAAACAAAAAGATGCAAGAAGGAAGCACAACCACAATGCAAGATGACCCACCACAACCAGAAAATCTGGATGCTATTACTTCTATGTTTTAAGTTCAAACAGCAGCAAATAGAGCCCTTCCAGATCAATAGGGAGGGCCTTCATTGCCGGGTATCCAAACAGCACAAAAGACAGCAGATGACTTCATAATAGTTTATTGAAAAGCTAGTATGCAATACCTGGGCCAATGGTAGGTCATTATTCACAAACAGCTTTCTGATGATTTTGTGTGGCTCAATTTCAACTCCCACCAGAGAAAACAATGGAGCCCCTGCATAATGATGGTGCCCTTCAAAAGATAAGACAAATTTCAGCTTCTGTATCGATAGACTGTGACCCGCTGGTGTACAATATAAACAAAGATTACATATAAAATCTACCTTTCTGTGTTGTTTGAACCTCCTCCTGGAAAGTAAAATCAAGTGTCCTGTCCTTTTCAAGAGATGGCCAACAGACCTGCATTGTTATGAAGTCCCATTTTAACAGAAACTGGGCATACATCACCCAATCAAAAACTCGGGTATTTTTAATGTGCATCTAGAGGATAAGCTGAAAGTCAAAGATGGAAAGTTTCATCTCCGGCACAATTATTATACTGTTAAAATAGAGCAAGATGACAAACAGCCAATCCAGAGAAAACTTTAATTCCATCTATAAAAGCTCAATAAGTTTATGCTGAATCACAAAATATACATAAATGGATCCACTCTAGCTAAAAGATTGTGTTTGTTACATGAAATAGAATGTTTGCATCACAGTTGAGTATTTACATGAAAATGAATACATTGCAGTACATCCCAAAATACAAGAATCTCTTTGGCCAACTTGTTTATTGAACCTAATAAACAATTGAGCAGTTGGGCATGTGTTTCATTCTATTTGTTGGTTGCAGAATCCCCAGATCTCAATTCTCTTTCCAACTCATCAAACTCCCAATCACCAATCTCTTCTACAGAGTAATCCGGATTGACCTTGCCAAATTCAGACTCCAATTGAGCCAATTCTGCTTCTGCATCGAGAACCTGCTCTGATTTGGGAGCTGATGGTTCTTGTTCCTGAACATTGGTTGCTGGCGATTTATTGTGCTCCTTTTCTCTGACATCCGGAATCTCACCAGCCTCCTTTGTAGGATGTGACACATCTTCGTGTGGATTTTCACTGGATGAACTCTCAGCCTCTTGATCTGGAGGAGTTTCCATTTCAAGATTTGGTCTCTCAATAGACTCAAATACAGTTCTCAGCTTTTCAATATTATCAAATAGTTCTTTGACTTTGGAATTATCTTTCCTGCAACAAAATGGGAGAAGTAAATTATTTCATGAAGTTTCAAAAGAAAACTAAATGCAGCAAGAATAACCAAAAATTAAACCTGGAGATTTTCCCTTGTTGAGCATAGTACTGCTCCCTCATATTATCCACCACACTAAAGGTGGTTATAATCTGCAGTTGAAAACCATATCATAAGAACTTGATCACTGTGCATGTGCATGTGCATGTCTACACTCTACACGTAAAAAAGGACGACCAACAAAAGAACATCTTTGTTTTGTCCCTTACATGGTCACAAGAATAAGATATGGTTTTCTGAGCAAGAACTGAAAAGACAAAGGAATTTGGTGATGAAAATTGGCACCCACCCCCCCACCCAAAATTTAAAAAAAATAAAAAAAATAAAAAAAATCCCAAAAGAACACTACCATAGAGGATACTAATCACAGGAATTAGAGTGACAGTTCAAGGCAGCCAAATTTCCCAAAATACTAAAGCATGCTCAGCAACCATGTCATTTATTAAAACCATAAAGCCACAATTTCAACTTACCTTAGTCTCATAGTCCAGGTATTCCTCCTCAAGGTTATTCCTAGGGTTCAATGCTTTTGAATCATCATGACCAACACCAAGAGCCGCAATTGAACTGTTTGTATAAACTAAAGAGTTCAATAAGTATGATAAGAATAAAATTATGGATAAATCAATGCAAACAAAGACATTACCCTGTGCCTAAACTCTTCAAGTTCTCCACATATTTCTCTATGCGATCAATAGAAGGTTTTAAGTGTCTCTAAACAAGAAACACTAGGTCAGTCACATAAGCGTTCAATGCTTGGCCAGAAGATGTGGCTATAATGCAAAATAAATCCATACCTTGTAAGCAGAGAGGAGTTGAATGACCAAGTTCACAAAATAGTCTTCATGTCCTTCTAGTTCATCACTTGAAAATACAAAATAACAATTATTCAACAAAATAAAATCATTTTCATTAATTAAAATCAAAGATTTAGCAAAGTGAAAACTAGCATATAGGTAGATATAAGTATTTTTTTTTTTAAATCATGTAGATAGGTTCAGTTGCATACATGGCCTCTTTTCTTTTAGCCTCTGTATAAGAGCATTGAAGTGCCCAAGTATCCTCCATAAAATTGATCCATGTACTAAGAACATTACCTTCCACTCTACATGAGCTTATGACTTTTGACAGCTCATCTTCCTGAAAAAGTTGCACCATTATCTCAAAATGAAAATAACCAATTAATGAAGGTAAATATCAAACACCTTGGAACTTCAACTCCATGATAACCACTGGAAAGTCAAGTTGCAAAAAGAAGCAAATTACAAAAAGAGAAGGCAAACCTTAGTTTTCAAATGAGCAACAATCTGATCATTAGCCTCATAGAACTGGTCCCTCTCTTCTCTAGCATTGCGAAGGCGTCCGTTAACCGCAGCCAAGGAAATTTTCACCTGACAATTTTATCCTATCTATGAAAATGCTTGAAAGAGAAATATAGAAATGATTATGAAACACAATCAAACGAAAAAATAGAAGAAAAACATTTTTTTCAATCTTATTTTTCTAAGAATGAAAATAACTCTTGCAAAAAACCATCATGAGTCCAAAACTGGGAGGTAAACCAATTAGCTAACCTAACAGTAAGATACTTCTCGTATATTAATCTTCAAAACTAAATCATCTTGGCTGTCCTTTTTTTTTTTTTTTTAAGTTTCTAATAATATTTCTTGACAAGATCCTTAACAATATACTTGTAATATAATAATTTTAAGAATCTAAGATAAATGGATCACCAATATCAGGTGAAACTACAACCAGGATGTGCTTCAATTAAGAGTACTAATTCCTAAATCCCTTATGCACAAGAACAAGGACCTGCTTCAATTGAGCTTCAAGTTCATCTCTCTGTTTCTCTAGTGCAGAAATCTCAACTGATAATTCCTGAAGAACAAAGAAAGGCAATAAACAGTTACAAGTATCTCAGAACACAATAGATGCCAAAGCACGCCATTAATCTTGCATATTCTTAAGGACTGTACTTTAACAGTGTTAACACTATATATGGCCATAAAGTAAGAATTATCTCATCTCAGCATGCCAAGTTTATTATGTTATGAAAACCCAATTTAACTTCCATAATCAGACTACTTAGTGCTGCAATGTAAAGCCTTGTTCTTCTTTTCTGAGCACAATACCTTCTCTATTTCACTGACTTCAATGGCCTTGGCAACACGGAATCTTAAAGCCTCCTCCCTTTGAACTCTGTCAAGAGTACAAAAAGAAAACAAATAAAGAAGCAAAAAAAAAATTCATATCTGCATATATAGTGCTCATTTTGATTAGAACATAGATTGTGAAAGCAAAGAGTAAACAAATAACCTTTGGTCTGAGATCTTCCTCTCTGCTTTTGAGCTGGAGCTAGCAAGTGATTCACATAAAATTTTCAATTTGTCAACCTGCAAAAAATAAAAGGTTGCTAGAAGCACACATTCTACAATTTTCTAAGAACACACATTCAACAAAAATAAAGTAATGAATACAAAAACACACATACAATTTAGCACAGTATTCCAAATAAAAATGAGCACTTCACCACTAGTCATATTTGAGTAAAAAAAACGCAAAAATTAAAAACACAAGAGTAAAGAGTAAAATACCTTTTGAGCATGAATTTCAGGGGAATCCCCATATTTAAGAGCTATCTTCTTCAGTAAAAGCCCTTCTAATCTGGAGCAGGCTCGAATATGAGCAAGTGTTTCCTTCAGAGTCTGTTGGGAAGAAATAAAGACATTGTAAATATATTTCCAATCATGGAAAATCAACATGCAAGATGCACCGGATGAAAGGAGGAAAGCCGTATTAAAAATTTAAAATATTCACAACTTAAAGTCCATAAACAGGGGACCCATTTTCAAATTATCCATAAAATATCAATTAATAGGTCAGACCATGGCAACAACAAGAAGTCCACATTCATCTTCAAGTCATCTAAAAATATCAGAATCTTAAGGCCATTGATCCTATTTAACTATATCATTAGTTAATTTATAGTCTCAATAAAGGAAATAAAATACAAGAAAAGCCAGGTTCACC